ATTGTTAATAAACCATTTTGAAGCTTTCGACGATTCGAGAATTTCAAGCATGTACATAGCTTAAAGCTATACAATTGTCAATATTTAATTTAATAAAGAATATATTAAATCTTTATTTGATAGATGATATATATATATATTTAAAAATATAAATGCAACTTCATTAGATACAATAAAGTCAATATATAAGAATGACTGTAATTATAACAAGAATAATAATAACAATAATAAGAACAATAACAATAACAATAATAACAAAAATAATAATCACAATACTAACATAAATAATAACCATAATAACAACACTAATAATAACAAGAATAATAATAGCAGCATTAATAATACCGGTAGATGCTTAAATTTTTAAATTACTTACTATGCAACATATTCCACTGAATATTGTACCGATCCTCAATGAGAAACAACTGCAACATGAATTTAATCGACACCTGTAACAATAGAAAGATACTAAAATGCTGCAAAAACACTAATAATATTTTTGAAAAGTAGCATTAAATTATAAGGTTTCCATAAAATAAAAATATTATCAATACAAATGAATTATACGTACTACATACTAATAATTTGGGCAAATCATTAAATAAAATTTTTATCGATATTTTTTTACCTACTTTGTCGTCTTTTTTGTCGGGTTCTCATAAAATAGTGAAAACATTGTATATATAGTAAATATTTAGTATATCATGATCGTAGAAGAAGAAGAGGATTTTAAAAGAAGATTTATTATTAACTAATTAAAAACTTTATTATTGTAATAAATATGATTCAAATTGAATAATTTTGTTAATTAATTTAATTAATTCTATAGCTGATGATAATGCATTAATAAAAAAGTGATTATATTAAATTATAGTAGTTCATTTATTCACGGAATATAGATTAAGTTAAATGTATAAATTGATACATTAAATAAATAGTCTTTAAAACAATCAATATATATTTCTTTATAATAAAAAATTATATTTTGCAATTATTAGACATTTGCAGTACTTTTATGTAGTAGTTTATTTATTTAATTCTATTTTTATGCACTATTATAACAGAATATATAATATAATATTAAAATGTATAATATATTATATTATATATTACAATATATAATATGTTATATGTTATAATATATAATATGTTATAATATGTTATATTATAATATATAACATATTACTATATATAATATAACTTATGATAATATATATTATAACTAGAAATTTCGTTATTGTTCGAGAATGAAAAGAAAATCTCTCGAATTATTTTCATTAGGAAATTTTGAACAACTATTATGAAAAGGGAATTATCAAACGGACATAAAAATCTAAGAAAGTCTCACCACGGTTGCATGAGACTCGAAAAAGTTTGTACATCTGTGAACTAGTAAACAGCTATTTATTGCGTTTCGTATTAAAGACGTAGTAATTGTTTTGAATGCAATGAACGACCCTTGCGACTTACCATCAAACTCGGCTAGCTTGTTTACTAGACTACATTTTGAGGCTTAAATTATTTCAAACAATTGAGTGAAAAATATTTCTTTGAATCCGTTACAACCCGAAAATCGGCACGTGTGCCTTCAATGCCATCAGCAAGCATGCATTGTTGTCAAGTACGACAAATGTTGCTGCGTGCATAAGCCAAGCGAAGATGCTTGACCAAAAATCACCCCCACCACAATAAGTCCCGGAGAGGGGCAAATCTTCCACTTCACGCATTGCCGCCAGAGATACTCCTTCGATATTCTCATTGTCTAAGCCTAATTTCTTCTAAAGTGGGAAAAGGGCGTGTACATTCATCATACCGCCGAAAAGCGGCGCGCCCTGATTGGAAAACTAAGACCAGAAGCTCCTTGAGTGGGGACTCATGGCAAGAGGCCTTAAAGATGGGAACAAGGCAGCGAAAAGTCGATGTCCGCTTGGGCAGTCAAGGGCTATCTCAAAGAAAAGTCAGTTCGAAAGGGGCTATCCTATAGAGAAGCACCAGGTCGGGAAGAAACTTTATGCACTCGTACGAATTGGTAAGCTAGTAACCAAATACTTGCGGAGATCCACTGACCAGAAGAAGATACATCAACCTTACTATTAAACCGTCAACGGTAAAACCGACCACGCATGTTAGTGTTTGCCGCGTCTTTTTTGTGGTCAACTTGATGTTATCACTTCACTTACAAGAGGGGCGGACGACTACGCACGATTGTGCTTTGTGGTAAATTACTCAATCCAAGATCAGATCAAGATACTGCATTACTGTGAGTACACTGTCCGCATAACCTTATCATTCTTGCTCGCCGATGGCAATGATCAGCACAACACCATAATTTAACGATCTCAAGAGCATCTTGTGTAGTGACACCTCCTATACAAGCAGCCGTTCAAGAAATCTTATCTCACAATCTCTGACAAGGAATGTGCAGTAATTATTTGTCTTTTCAAACCTTTCGATTCAACTTTCTTGCTCGCCGATGGCAATCATCGGCACAACATCACATTTAAAAGAGTTCAAGAACATCTTGTGTAGTGATATCTCCTATACAAAACGCCGTTCAAAAAGCGAATCTTCACATTAGACTGAAGAAGATTCTTCAATACCCATATGTAAATAGTGTATTAAATTGTTTAATAAATATATAATTAACCAATTCTCACGACTCTTGCACACCCCCTCCACCTAACTCCTTCCCGAGCGTCTGCGAGGGCGGGCGGCAAAATAAGCTATTGAAGCATTGGCAGTTCGAGCCAAGAATTACATCACTATATTTTCGAACAGTTATATAATAATCAATAAATGATGCATGATAATCTGCTTTGGCAGATATTTTCATAAATAGAATTTCGGATATTAGATATTGGCGTTTCTTCAATTATTACTTTAATTTTTGAATTTAAAAATTTGTTACATTTATAATAATGTTAATTTTTTTATTTAATAAATAATTATATTTATAGCATTTTTAAAAAGATCATATTAATTTTTATGTGTAATTTAGTGTTTATGTGTAATGATATTTAGATAGTTAGAGATTAACAGAAACAAATTAATAGATTACTATTTTAAGTGTTGATATTTATCAAATATAAACATTGTTTGGAGTTCCAGCCACCAGTATGGTCGTAGATCACGGTGGGTGGATTAGACCGTACCATCGGTTTAATGCTGAGGGGGGGGGGGAGAGGTTAATGCATCAACTCAGAGTAAACACAATTGGTTTTAGTGATTGGTTTAATTGATTTTGATATTAAGTCGAAACATCGTCTGGTAGTGCAAGCCTCGTAAGGTATTTCGGGAATACTAATTACGGGTTCTACCTTATGAATCAACGGAGTATTTCTTATTCGACAGTCATGTGTCGTGTGAGTCAGGCTTGAATTATGCTGGGTATTAGTCGGCTCGCGGAGCTTAAACGCTTAAGGCAACGCTCGAATCGTACTAAGCGAGATTCGGCTCGCGACTGATTAGGCGTTTGACTCGACGTTAGAATTGACTGAGTGATATTCGATTCGTGGCGGTGGTGGGGATTATTACGAATAGTTGTCGCCCTCTTTTGTGGTTTGATAAGAACCACTTTGTTGTGGCGTGACCGGTAATGTCTCGCAGTACTAATTAGACTTAAGCAGAGGTCTACTATCAGGATCGGCGCCCTCTTTAGCGGTCTGATAAGAATCAAGTCGGAGGGCTTCTCTGATACGGTAGACGTGGGCCGTGAATGAGGTCCTGGGTAGCATGATTGGTATGGTCTCGCCCTGCTAACGAGAATTAGGCCGGGATCTATTAATAAATATGATAAGTTAGACGTACACCGGGATCGGTTACGAGAAGTAGACGAGGGTTCACAACAAGTGTGAGTACTATCGATAGCTGATCAGCAATAATAATAATCGAATAATCAATATATGTAATAATATACCTTGCAGGGATTCCTTCAGACGAGTTCGACTTTCACAGATGTTACTGACACTAGTTTCACTTGAGTAATTCAACAAGACTGTTTTCTTCTCCGTTCGTTGCTTCTTAAATACGATTGCGTACATTTAGTGTTATGTATTCTTGGAGGCTTTAGTGAATTCTCTGGAAGCAAGCTTTGACAACTTCGAGAAGCTTCCTTTGTTGCTTTGCAGACAAAGTGCGCGGCTAAATTTCCAGTGAATTTTTGTAACGTATAATTCGAATATTGGGCCTTAATCTAAATACAATGTATCAGAATCATATTTTAACAAACAATAAATTCTTTTTTTTGTGGTTCAATCCTGAACAAACATTTATAATTTATTTCAATTAAAAGTAAAATTCACGAAACTCATGATCTTCTTCATTTTTTGAATATTTGTAAGTCAAAATATAATTCAATTAGTTTAATTTTGTTTTACAATAAAAGGAAGCATAAGAAGATTAGACATTAACTGTACAATCTAACTAATTCAAACATATAAATAAATGAAAAAACTAGTAACTAGATTTCTTTGTTTGAACGTATCGTTCGAAAAAAAGCTAAATAAGCTTTCATAATACAAGTTAAAATATAATAAATTTTACGGTTTACAAAGAATATTTGAAACGAAAAAACTATAAAATATAACTATAACAAATGATAAAATATGTGCTAAAAAACAGCTAAATAAAGGGAAAACAGTAAATATTAGTAGATTTTTAAGTATAAGTAATAAATAAGGGGATACTAACGACCCTCATTATATACACAGATGTATGTTACTCTTTTATTGTGGCATCGTTTAAGTACACCCTTTAATTCAGAATAAAAATATCCATATTCTCAAAAATTAAAATTAGAACAATATCAACAGAGCTCTGAGTGCAGAGCCTTCTGACCTGCCTGATCAATTATAACTTCATTGTGTCTCAATAAGTGAATTGTTATTTTAATATCTACTGTCACTAACAATATAACGCATATAGTAGCTTTAATAAAAATTTGATTAAAAGATAATAATTAAGATACTTTCAAGATGGATAAATCATTTTTGATAGAATAAATAAAAAGGATAAATTTATTCCGATAAATCATAATAAATATGGATAAAGCATGAACAAATTATGATTATCTATAAAATTAAATAAAGTATTCATAATTTCAAGAGTGGTATATGGATTTTGAATATGAATTATTACTTTGCGCATTACATTTTTCTACGAATAGTGGTGTTCGATTACATTTTTTAAAATATAGTTTTTTAATTTTTGCTCGTCTTTATACTTATAGGGTTTATCAATTTTTTAATTTTATTTTAAGATATATTTTAATCAAAATAATATCGATATTAAACAATACAAATAAATAAATAATTATAATGATAAATTATTGTTATATATTTTACCGTTGACCATCTGAAGCATGTAATAATTCATTTGAAATAAATCATTATTTATAAATAAGGATAAATAAATGTATTCAATATTACTTTATATGTTAATTAATTAATAGGACAAAATTTCAAATATAGTATTAGAGGTTTTATCAAGTAAATTTTTTCTGTAATATTTATATAAATATATTTCGTTCATTAACGTACATATTCTTAAATTGTTTCGGTGCTAATTATAATTGGATTATTAAACTTGACCTAATTAATTAATAAATGAATTAATTAAATTAGGTATCAAAATATTACATTTGGTTGATTAGGTGATCAGTAAATATGACTTTTGCCATTTTTTTATTGAAAAAAATTCAAATTAAAATTGTAATTATATTATTTAAATAATTTTTTATAGATATCGGTTGCTCACAATCTTTACCAATCATTTTTTAATCTTTTCGATTTTAGTTTAATTTAATATTTAGGCTTGAATTAAAATCAATTATAACTATTTACTGTGTTAAAACACTATGTGTAAATATTATTAGAAAATTATTTATAATAATGATACTTATAAAAAAATACTATCTTTGTATTTAAGTTGTAATAGAACATATTAATGTAATTTTACTCTTTTAAACACTGATATTTTTATAAAAATTTATCAAAATTCGGTAATATATGTGTACATTTTCTGCAAATAAGTACATATTTTATTCAATGTTGTTATAATTTTTTAATTAAATATATTATTTTCTTTCTAGTTTCATTAATTATATTTGACAGATTGCATAATATAATTTGTAATGCATTTCTGCTTTGAACACCGCACTGTTTAATTGGAAACACTGTTTAATTTTATTTTTAAATAATATAAATCGTTAAATTTAAATGATTAAATGGGAAAAATGGAATAAATTAAGCATTTTAATAAAAACAGATTACATATATTTTTATTTAAAAAGTTAGTTAAACTGACAATATTGAATTCACTTCAATAATATTGAGATTTAAACTGATAGATCTAGATACACACAGTTGTTTGAAACAGGAGCTAATTTTAGTCATTCTGTGTTATTTATATAGATTGATCATTTTGTGTGTAGCGTTGGCGTACTCGTTTGAGAAAGTAGATATGTTCAGAAGATATTAGTCAAATAACGTCATCAGAATTTACAATAGTTTTGAAATTTGCATGTGGTCTTTCATATACGTGAACATACACACACGCGCGCGCACGTATGCACACATACATATATATTAAAATATATTCTTATTATTAATATTTATTTACACATACATTTATATTATATATTATTTCGCCGTAGCTATTTTTTAATGTAAAAATATTTATAATTTTTCATCACTGTAGATACATCTTATAAAAAAAATGATTTTGAAAACTTAAATAGTACTATAAAAAAAAATAATACGCAGAATTGTATGTAATATAAAGAAACCCCTGATGTTTATATGTAAAATCTGTAATATTTCACATTCAAATTATATATAAATTTACGTATAAAGTTTGAAATCAAAGTTTATATTCATTATTGGAGCAAACATTACATACTGAATTTTAATACTACAGAATATATAGAAATAGATTTAGGTTTTACAGTATTTACAAATAAATAGAATTTATATAATATAAATACATACAATACTATAATCTGTAATGAAATAATATTTGAATAGTGTATTATATACTATAGAATGTAAACTATAACAGCAGCACATTGAATAAGAGGTATTTTTAGTGAAAAGTAAATGAATGTATTAATTAAAGCGATTGTTATAATTCTTTTTATAAAATTATAGCCTGGGAAAGATATTAGTTAAATTATGAGATTAAATAAAATTACTGATAATTGTTATTGGTATATAAATATTTTATTATATAATTAAAAACTTATATACAAAAGTAAGTATCATTACATAAATTAATTAATACGCACAAGTTTTATTAGTATTCAATATCATGAAATATATAAAATTACTTTACAGTGGAAATTATTTAAATATATCAAGTATGAAGAAGAATCTTGATGTGAACAATAAATGTGTATTTATGGATCATTTCCAGATTAAATAAAATATGAAAATTAATTGATACAAAAGGACTATATATGCGTTTACAATATTTTTTTTCATATTTCACACATAAGTTCAGATTTTATAAGCTTTCATAAGATAATTTTCATATACTCACAATTTTCTGGTTCAAATTAAATGCAAATTAGGTTAAAAAAATGCACTACGGTTTTAATTATTCGTATACCATAGTCACAAAACGTACATTATATAGTATTACAATATTATATTTTTATTGTAGTTTTTTGTTCTTTTCCTAATTAATTTGTTAATTTTAGATTAAAAATTTTTTTATTAAAAATATTTACTAGCACGAAAAATCTCGAATAACTATTATTTATCTTTAATCCAGAGCTTTATTACTATATGACACTAATTTTAGATTGTAGGTTTAAATACGTGTAATTTATTTTAAAACATTGAATGTCATTAATTTTTTTAGGTATGTGATAGAATATATAATTTACAAATTATTTATAAATCTTATTCCGATAGTTATAAAGATTCAAAATAACAGTATTGTATCATTACTTAAATATATCAATTTGTTAAATAAATTATTAATATTCACAATCTTTTACTATATGTGCACGTAAATAATATAGTATACATAATATATAATACAGTAAATTTAAATATTTTGGAGGAATAACAAATTTTGTTAAGAAAGTAAATATTTAATTTTATTTCTTTTAAATAATTAACATGAAAATTTTTTATCTTGAAATTATGTATTATAAATTTAAGGTTACATAATTATAATGACTTTTTAAAAATTATTTTAAAACAGTATAAATTGATATCATTAAATTGTATTAATTCCTTATAAATCAAACAATACTGTACGTTATAAACAATAAATATTATAATTAAAATTTTTGTTGCATATTATCAATCTTTTAAAAGATAGACTAAATAAAGAGATCCCTCTAAAATAATGTGGTTTTAAATTTAGTTATTTACTGCGTAAAAATTTAAATATAAGATAAAATAAAGAAAATTTTTAATAAAGTGGGATTCATTAAAACTAATAAATTATTAATAAATTAGTAAATAATAAATTAAAAATAAATTATTAATTTTTTGAGTAAATAATATAGTTTATAGATTATAACTAAACATATCTTCATATCCTATTATTTTATATGTAATTGTTTATTAAAATTTTGTAAAACTTCATTATTATAAAATAAAATAAAATAATAAATATATGCTACAAATGTAAATTTTTTAATTTTGAAATCAATAATTTTTAACTTAGATTATCTAATTATTATAAGATAGTTATAATAAAATATTTAATTTGTCAATAATTAAATGTAATTTTAATGCATAAAATTCCATATAAAATTCTAAACAATCCACTTTAAGATATGAACAAATCAATAACATAAAATAAAATTTAAATAATCCATAATAAAAAGATATAGGTAAGCATTGAATACATAATAAAAAGTATTTAATGAAATAATTTAGATAATAGTGAAATAGTTTAGATATTTATTTACATTATATATATTTAGATATGTTCTTAATGTACAATTTAAAATTTGAATGGAATTAATTGAAAAAATTAATGATATTTAATATCGAGAAAAATGGAGAATTAATTTTACTAAAAAATTCATTAATTTAAATCAAGTAAAATTAATATTATTGAATATAATTGTGTATACGTTTCTTATTTGAAGTTCTCATATCCAATATATATCTGTTTTATATAAAATGTGTATAGAAAATATGTTTAAATTTACATTTTATTTGTTGTAATTATAATAAAATTTTTAGTATCATTGCATTTTTTATATTAGTTTTATTGATAAAAAGCGAATATATATAAAAAATATCGACTTATATACAGATATATAGCGAATATATACAACTCATCGACAAATAATTGTTTTTTTATCACCATATTTTTAAAATACAGAGAAATACCTCTATTGGCTAAGGAAAACAAATGAAAATTAAAAAATTAGTACATTTGTACATATGATCGTGAGTAGATAGAAATAATAGTTAAGTTACATAAATTATATTTAACTATTATAAATTATTTACAACTTCTTTACAGAAATAAATTTTAAATATAACATTAGGAAGAAGTTAGTGCTAATTCATTTTTAATTTGATTTAGTTAAATAAAAACAAAGTATGAAATTAATTAATAATTAAGTTAACAACGTAAAAAAAAGTACAAAGCTTTTGACAAGTTTGTAACAAACCTTGAATCCGTCATTGTATTTCGACCGTTAAAAAAATAGTCCCGATAATAAAATGAACCTTAGAAGCATGTTATTTAAGCAAAAAAATTTCCGTGTGCCATGTACTAAATTGGAAACTTATACGACGTAAATTTTAATATGGTTCAAATATCTGAAAAAATTCAAAACTGGAAAATTGTGTGAGCTCTGCTCGTAATAAAAGATGAACACAAACTGTGCCAAGAACGCCGACAGAGCTCCAACAACAGGCCACGATACACCTACGACTGATACATTCACCGCTAAAGGTCGTATGAGAACTTTGAATGAGCGCGCGCTCTGCGCATTCAATACGCTATTCCTTTACGAATTATACAGTTGGTCTAGATTCATTTGGAATCGTATTTTGAATGTTTTCTGCTCTTGTCACTCTTCCTCAAAATCAGATCTGTTATGAAACCGTATAATTCATCGTATATTTCACGAATTATATGGTTTGCGGTATTTCTAGTTAAGTCTATGAATATTTTATAATATATATGTACTTTCGAATATACCTCTATTATTTTCTGTCTCTACATTGTGTATCTGCTACGCTATTCATAATTTGATGTACATATAGGTTTTCAAAAAATACAAAATTAAAAAGAGAATCTGTTATTGTAAGAAAAAATTTAATATTTTACATTTTTTAATATTATAAAACTAGGATCATTTGGTATTGTATGTCGTATAATTTAAATGTAAACTTTATATTTGAAATATTAATATACTTCTAAAAAATTTGATGTAAAGTACAAAGTATTCTCTGAAACGGTTTATAAGTAAAAAAAAGTATTTAAGATTGTTTTCTTTGATATCCATGGTACCACTCAATTGTAAAATATATATTTCACATAAATTATTAATACATAAAATAATTATCATTTCGCCAAAAATTAATAATGAATATTCTACTAAAACTGTCGTATATATGAATAACTCAAAATATTTTGAAAAATACGATAATTTAAAAAGGTAGTATACATATATTTCCTTCAATTTTTGTATACTTATGCTGAGAAACTTTAATAGATATGAGTTCACAATGAAGTTTCTATTATTTCTTAGCGAAGTTAGTATTTCCATAGGTATGAATAGCATGGATATGTTTTACATAATGGAAATATTTATTTCATAAAAATGATTTTCATAAAAAGTTTACTAATACTGGGTGTGTAATTTTATAAAATTTTATTATACATTCTTTCTATAACTTCTTAGTACGATGTCAATAGTTCTTATCTATAGATGAGTCTAAATTATTTATAGAGTTTCATATTTTATTTTATTTGAAAATAATGTGATTATTATAATAAAAGTTGTTTGCAAGAATCTATTTTAGTACTAAAATTTCATATAAAATGATTTTGGTCAGATTAAATTTTTTATTAAATATTTTGTTATATAATGATTATTACAAATAAACAATATTTTCAATTATTTAAAAAATACTGCTTATTTTTTCTTCAATTACTCGTAATCATTAAACTGCATATCTCAATAATATACAATGAAAAATAATATTTTTATTCTTTAACCGTATTATTTCAGATATTTATAAAATATCAGTAATTAATATACTTAATAAGCAATCTTTGTTTCGTTAAGTGAAATTACAAACACCATTAATAGAACCAAGAGTATTAAATCGTATAGATATTCATTAAAATTAATGAACAACTAAATCAAAATTTAAAGAAAATTATTCTTGAGATTAATAATTAAAACATATAAGATAAAATTTTCAAAACTAATGAAAATACAAGTATATTTAGTATATTATAAAATAAAGAGCAAATAAAGATTGTTTATATATAATACTTTAAATAACGATATTCTCATATTCTATCTAACGTAATTTGTCTTAATTTTATTTTTAGACGGAATATAAGTGTATTTGTATGTAATAATGTAATTATCAAAATATAGAAAATTATAGAAAGATTTGAATCTTTAATTTATTTTAAATTGGTAATCTAAAGTCAAGTACATGTTTTTAAAAACCGTCAAGTTCATTTGAACAATATTTAAAATTTTCGTAATTATAGAAAATGAAAAATAAGGATTAATAAATTGAAATTTTGTTTACAATACAGATGGTATATATATGTGTCGCCTTACCTGTTCTGCAACCAAACAATAAAATTTATGAAGTCAATCGTGTCATACTATGAAAAATATCGTTAAAGTTAAAAATTGATTGTATCTGGCTTAGAACATTCATCTGTTACAAACATTTTGGCAATGAAAAATATATAGATACTTTACTACTAAATTAAAAAAAAAGACTATGTAGTTACTATAAGGAGGCGAATGCTACCCATATTATTTTTGAGTATTTTTTAATAAAATTTTTAACATAATACTTATTATTTTGAAAAGAGAGAATAGATAGATTCTTGATAGTTCTAGATAGTTCTTTCGTCAAACTAATCTAGTGTATTACATATATTTGAAAGATATAAAATTAAAGTGTAAATTTCGAATGAACTTAATTTTGGCTATTAATTACTTTTACTTTAAAAATGAAAATGTAATTAAATAAGAAATTTATAAAATATTGAAAATTCAGTAATGGAAGTCGTCTATCTTTACTAAAATTAATACTTATTATTTATGTAAAGTATTATTAATTAAAAACAAAAGATGATTTCTAAAAAATGTTACTAAAAAAATGAATACTGTATATATTTAAAATAACTTGATTACTGTAAAATTTTATATAAATAAAGTTTTGTCTATTTCATCTACAATTAAGATTTTATTAAAAATATAAAGTTATAAAATGAAATTCTATTGGAATGAATTATTGTAATAATAATGATTTATTTTATTTCTATAAGTACTGTTTTTTTCTAAATATTTTATTTACAAAGCTCTATATAATAATGTTATAGATAGAAATATATCGGTATTGTAATTATTACAAAATAATTTCTTTGTTCACACTTTTTTCAATCTAATATTGAATTCTGGTAGAATTTTGAGAATCAAAACTTAATGAAGAATCACTAATGAACGCAATAATGTTAATTATTTGTATAATGAATAAATGAAACTTTTATGTACTAGTAATTTTTATTATATTAATTACGTAATATTTATTATTATTATTATTATTATCCTTAGATTATACTTATATAAAATTGTTAATTACTCAAATTACAATTCTATTTTTAAATTTATTTCTTAAAAAAAGGATTTCATTGAACATATACTGTTAAGAAAATTTTTTATTTTCATTTTCCAATACAAGTTAATTAAATAACAGTGATAAGTTTAATAACGACCAACAAAACGAAAGAATTAAATACAAAAAATGTTCGATCTTGCTGTTTATTTTCATTCGATAAGATAATTACTAAATATTGTAATTCATAATTTATATACTTGTTAATTCGATCTGAAAATTTCATTAAATATATAGATATATAGATGTAGTAGATTAAAGAAAAAATATTTACACCAAATAACTAAAATTTAATGGTTATTATTTGAAAGTATCCATTATTGAATAGTTTATGTGATTTCAAAGTAGCTACGAGATATGGATCTGCAAACTTTTTTTAACTTTGTTTATATATTTTAAGTGTAAACATATAATTATTAAAATAAAAAATAATTAAATTTAATTCATAAGACATTTAAAATTAAATTGATTCCAACCAATTATTTGCTATTAAAAAAAAATGTAAATATATATATATTAATTGTTTCTTATTTCATATAGGCATGCATATAAAACGTGCAAGTAGGTGTGCATAAAGAGCATATAAAAGAATCTATCTAATATCAAGTATTTCTTGTTTAAATTTGTTAATACATCCTTTACTACATCACATGTTTTATTTTTAATGGCAAATAATTGGTTGGAATCAATTTAATTTTAAATGCCTTATGAATTAAATTTAATTACAAAAATCCCCGTAAATAAAATTTATTTATTGAGTTTTTATTGTTGTAAAACGAAGTTTATCAGGGAGATATTTTTAAATTTAAAAGATAAATGTTTTACTAAAAAATTTAGTTTATATCTTGAATAATTCATTAACGAAAATGGGTAACTATATATACGATTGATTGAATACAATAATATTTTTCTGAATAAATTAAAATTTTTTTTATTAATTATATTTTAAAAAATCTAAGTTAGTTTATCGAATGGTAATCCTCTTGTGTATGAATTTATAGACATTTGCTTATTTTTATTTAATTAATGAATTAATAAAATTACTTTAAATTTAAATAGTAAAACTAAAGTAAATATAAACAATTCATTGATTTTTTTTTCATAGAAAATTAATTTATAAATTAAGAAATAAATGTAGAACTCTAGAACAAGAACTCCCATTACACATGCTTACAATCTTGCTATTGTTTATAATCAAGAAATCGTAACTAATTACTAAAAGTATTATTCATTGCCAATGAGAATTGATTAATTTATTACTAAATGCTAATATGATTTATTGAATATTGCAGTCCGGAGTTATTTATTGATACAAGCAATTGTGGGTTATAACAATATATTTATGAACAATTAAAGAGTTTTTTATTATTATTATTTATTTATTACAAAACAAATTAAATTTCACTTTGAGCAATGATACAATATAAAATGGTTCTATAAAAAAGCATATTTCTTAAAAATATTTTTTTAAAAGATGTATCAAATTTTTCACATTATATTTTGTAGAAATTTTTGAAATCAAATTAAATGAAAATCATGATGTAGAATATCCAAACCTATATTTTATTTAATAATTCATTCTTCGAATCGCATATGGAAAAATGTTTAAGCTACTTGGTTCTTATAACCTACAGTAACACATTACAATACGTATGCATGCAATTTTTAAGCATTCATTAAATATTTCAATCGATTTTTTATTTATTTTTAAAATTATTTTTGACATGAAAGTATTGTTTATATTCTTATGCATTAGATAGATACATTCATAATTTTTTAGAATCAATTAGAAAAGCATATTATATGACAAATGTTTTATAGTGGGTTAGATTCTGACATTTTTATATTAGAAATTTCATTTATTCTGTGGAATAACATATTTTCATATGTCAATAAATTTTAAACTTCAACAAACCTTATAATTATGACGCTGTTATTAAATGAACAACAGTTTGAATGTCGGTATGAATTTTAATATTAACAAAATTTACTTTTTTCTATGATATCCTAACCTTAAATATTTATAGCAGCTGAAATTTTTAGTTAAGAAATAAAGTTATAAATGTAAAATTTTATATTTCTAGAGTTAGCTCTGTGTTAAATAAAAATGGAAAAATCTATGGGAAACAATTTATGTTTGACAAGAATGATGAAACATGTTGGAATTCAGATTGTGTAATTAAAAAAAATGTAATTAAATATAATGTATTTATACAAGTTTAATATATGTATATTTATATGTGCAGGGAAGCCCTCAATGGATTGTATTAAATTATTATAAAGAAATAAATTTAACATCATTAGAAATTCAATTCCAAGGAGGTTTTGCTGGACTAAAGTGTCAAATACAAGCTGGTTCAAATTTGAAGAATTTAAACTATTTTCAAGATATTTTTCCAGAAAATAGTAATTCTATACAGTTATTTAAATTAATTTCAGTAATAAAAGCTAAAATATTTAAATTAGTTTTTCAGAATAGTACAGATTTCTTTGGTAGAATTATCATATATAAATTATTATTAAATTATTCTTAGTTATCTCATATGTGAAAAATATAATGTAAATAGAAAAACTTAAAAGAAATAAATTTTTATACGATGTTATAATTTTGTACATAAACTTTTGATTTTGTTTTCATAACTCTTTCATCAGTATAATAGCTATTAATAATATAAATTTAATTGTTTAATTGATTGTAAAATCTTACACAATTTATTTTAATGATTAATTTTGCACTGATTTCATTCATAAATGTTTTCTTGAATTATAATATTTTATTATTTGTCTTAATATATTAACACAAAAGAGTTATATTCAAAAAGTAAATTTTATTATTTATAATCTATGAAAAAAATTATAGCTTTAATTTTTCTACCATAATATTGTTGGTATTTGGCAATTCTGAATTATATTTTTTAAGACAATGATTTCTAATATAAAATTTATAAATTTCAATTAAAGAATATAATAAAATTTGTAGCTAAAACCATTATTTACAGTAATACTTCACTCATACAATAAAAAGTTACCAAAAATAAAATAACAGAAATTTAATTAATATAAGGTTAATACAATAAAAATAAAATAAACTGAATATTTATATTAACATCCTGAGAATCACATTTTCTATGACAGAAATCTATGACGTGTAATTCTAAAAACATTTTGTTTAATAAGAAAAATGTATATTTATATTATATATCAAAACGTCATGTAATCCTTATTCAGTAAGGTTTTAAATACTGTTTTATATAAATAATACAATATAAATAAGAGCATTGGATGTTTAAAATGATAAAATTATAAGTTACTCTAAATTATAAACAAAACACTTAAATATCTAAAAGTAAGTATTAAAATCTCTTGAGGAATATAAATGTTAACATGTATTTCTGTTAAGTAAGACTGAAAGATCAACAATCATAAATTATAAATATTATATATTGCATCACTGCCTATATTGTTAATAACTATTAAAAAAGAAAACACGAAAATAAAATTTATCTTTTGACTTACTACTATTCCTTGTTCTCTCTATCAAGAATAATTTGTAATAAAATTATTAATGATTCAACGCTTTCTCTACAACTTTTTCTCAAACTTGAAATTTGAAAAATTTAATATATTTTTTCATATTATATAATAAATATAACAATAAACAATAAAATAAAATTTTTGTAAAAATATAATTGTCGATTATTGTCTGTTATATTTAAAATGTAATATGCGAATCAAATTTATATAATGTTTATTTAAGTTTCAAAAAAAGGTGGTTTTTGAATTTCGTATATGTTGCACTTGTTTTATTTTTATTCATAATAGAACTGGAATCTATATATTTTATTTATATTTCTTCTTGCATTTATGTATAGTATTTATTTGTACTATGTAATAGGTAATTTTTAAATCTAAAAACAAATTATTCTATTTATTTTCTTATAAGTCTCATAAAAGCAATTATTCGATTTTGAAATTTTATTAAATAAATTTTTTTATTAATAATTGCAATTCATTAAATTATATAAGTTTTCATAAATATTATGGAAATTGAATCCTTTGTTTTGATTTCAATTTATGTAATTGATAAAGAAAAGCAGAAACTATTACCATTTTTGGAAATTAACTAGATAGATGAGTACCTGTTGAGTTTTCTGTTGCCTTTTAATAGCTTTGAAAATTTTTTAAATGATTTTCTTTTCACGATATATATTTAGCACAAATATTTGGTTATATGAAAATAAAAATAACCTTAATTATTTTCAAATAAATCAGATAAAAATGATTTTAGATTAAATCGATACATTTAATTCGAAGTTAAACCGAATTTATTTCATTTATTAAGCAATTTCTAATATTTTATAAATTACAGAATTTATATTATAGTATATGCAAAAATTAAAAATCATTCTATTATGCTTAAACTTTCAAAATAATCTAATGATTTGATGTGCGAGCATAAATATTTTATATTATTTATATATTTTTTTATTTTTCACGGATTTTTCAAATACTACTCATAATTTATTTATTCTTAACTGTTTTTTTATTCACTAATTCATTGTTATCTTGAGGAATTTGGTAATAACTTTAATTTAACTCACAAAATTACAGTAAATGTATTTTTTCTTAAAAATTGTATTAACTATTTAAGTTTTTTAGGAGTAAAGATAAATTTTATATACTATTTAATTTTTGTCTATTTCATTGTCAAAATTAATAATATTAATAATAAATGTTGTTTTTAAAAATAATATAGTTAAGCTTGAAAAGCGAAATTTTAGTAACGCTAGTTATTAATTAATATAAATATATTTTTAATTTGTATATACAAAGTTAAAACTATTAGATAAATCTAAATTTTGTTTTCTAATTAGTTTGATTTATCTAATAAAATTTATATATATATTTATAATTTCGGTAAATATATTATTTTTAATACTTTTTATTTCATTAAATTTCTTATATTATAAAATTTTTTTACTTTTCATATTTTGTGTTTATACAAGCATTCAATTTTTTAATTACAAAAAAATGTATATTCAAATTTTTATTATTTATAAATTATAATAATATTCTTATATTATATATTACATACACATAATTGTAAATGATTTATGTAAGAAATAATTATAGTGCTCTGAATTTTGATTGTGTTATTCAAATTTAATATTGGATAATAGTATGGATTTTTCATAAATACATTATTTAAACATTATATAATAATTTTTTAAATATATAAAAATATTATTTTTTAAAAAAAATTTGTATTCTGGAATAATTAAATTTGTTATTCAATAAAATTAAAAAAATTATTTTGGTACGTATATTCTTGTTTTATATAATTTACTGATCTATGGTTTACCGTATGTTTAAATTGAACTTTAATTACAATAATTTTCATAGATGTTAACAAAAAAAAAAATAAATTATAAAACTTCTGCAGTTGTAAATAAAATAAAAAGACTTATATAAATTTCGTAAAATTAATAATAAAATAATAAATTAAATATATGGATTAAGAACATTCTAATATGATAATGATAGAATACTGTTGAAAAATTCAGTCATCGGTGGTCGAAGGACCTAGATGGTTTGATTAGACTATGTCCACCTATGACCTTTTCGTGCTGTTTATTGCGTTTTATTTTACAAGTATACAATTATGATTCTACATTGATAATGAGAATTGTTGAAATCTTGCCTTTCGTTGGTGGTTACACATGGTGGTAGCATGCACTACATATCGAGGTAGTAGGTCGTAAATGTCCGGACCTCTTGATGCAGTGCGCTTGGTTGTGGGTTACTACACTGAGCAGTGAGAGGTCGTAAATCTCTGGACACCCCTTAGTGTAGTTGTCTAGAATTAGACTTAAAAATCCCAGGTGTTCGATGGAAGGATTGCGGCCAAGTGGAAAGGTTAACGCATTTATTCAATAATTAACACAGTTGCGTATCTTGTCGTTTTTCCCCGTTATTTACAGACTACACAATGAATATGATTCTAAGATGGTGTTGAGAATCTGTGAGTTCTTGCAGTTCGGTGGTAATTGTCACGTGGCGTTAGCATGCACTACTTGCAGGGGTAAGAGGTTGTAAACCTTCTGATCCTTGACCTAGTGCGCTTGATGGTAAATGGTTATACTGAAAGTAAAAGGTCGTAAATCTCCAGTACTTCCTCGTGTAATGCCCGTGATGGCTGGCGCACTCGCACCTTGAAAATGCCTTCAAAGTTCGCTACTAGCGGTTATAGACTGAGAGAATGCCCTCGCAGATACTTGAGGATTCCTTTAATTCTTAGTCGTGGAGGTTGCTACAATTTCACTTGAATGATTCTCAAACTGTATTATATTGTATCACAACGTCGTTGATTTCTTCTTCTATCACCCTTTCCTTGTCGGTGAGCTACTTGAATGCTTGTACAATTTGACAGCGTGTTCCCGCCGTGATCCTCACTCGAAGCTGAGGGCATGTTCATTCCGTGGTGGCTCTGCTAAGACAGGTCGTGTTTCGTGCCATGACGTCTTCACTAAGAAAGAGTGAGACTCCTCGCGTGTTCGCTTTATATATCCACGCGAGAGTTCAGTTATCTGGCAACGATAGATAGGTGTTGCTATACGTAAAACTTTGCAAGACGTTCGAGAGTAAAGCTTTAGGAGTTTCGAAAACTCCGGGAAAGCAAAGCTTTAGAAAGTCAGAAAATTCCAACCAACGTTGTTGTGCAGAGACCAGACAAACACTGTAGGACGTTTAAAAGTAAAGCTTTACAATGTTCGAGAATTCTCGGGTTCAAATGTTTACAAAAATCGAGAGCTAGAAGAATTATAAATTTCCGAGAACCAAAGGTCTTGGAAAGTGCTCCAATTCCGAACAAATACAGAGTTTTGTTCAATAATAATATGGAAATAAATACTTTTAGAAGCAGAACAAAATTTCCATCATAAACTTCATTAATATTAAGCGATGATAAAAATATATGAAATAAGATATGATACATCTGAAAAAAATTTAATATTTTTATTTTTTATACATTACGTATTTAATAAGTTTTCCATATTTTTATATACGAATCTACTTATAATATAAAATTTAATAATCAGAGTTTTTGTCGTTAAGCTATTAAGATAATATATATGAATAATACGGTAATCCACTCTTCTAGTTAATAAAATGGTATAAAAAATTTAAGTCATTAGTAATTCTATAAAAGACGCTATGTTATTATTAAAACTTGAAAAATATATAATGTTACGTTAAAAATATATATATAGTATAATGTTAGTAATAATAATCTAGCAATCAAATTTATAATAAATTTGATGTAATAAAGATACATCTAATTACTGTAAGTGCTATATTAAGATACTATTTTTAAAGACAATCCAATTAATATAAGCATAAATCTAGATTTTTCATTTTTAGAAAAAAGTATTAATTTGAATATGTTCAAAGTAATGAAACAGGAATCTTTTGTGCTTCAAAAAAATATTAATAAGAAATTATATTAATAAGAAACAATAGATATTTGATAGAAAAAAAATACCTA